GGGGAAGCCGGGCAGCGGCTCCATCCAGGAGCGCACATAGCGGCCGGGCTCGGAGGCGGCGGCGGCCAGGGGCGGCGGGGGCACGTACGGGTGGTAGAGGCCGCTCATCGCCGCCGCCGCCGGGGGCTGGGCGGGCACGGCGGACCACGAGGCGGAGAACACGGCCGATTTGGGGGCAAAACTACACGAGGCGAACTCGGCGGCAGCGGCGGCCGGGCTGTCGGCCACACCTGCAGGCCGGCCCTGCGCTCCTGGCCCCGGCGGCCCAAAGCGCGCCGCGAACACCTCGTCGCCCTCATGGCCTATGAGCGAGTCCACGTAGTAGTTGCTGAGGGTGCCACTGGACGACATTTTGAGGCGCTGCGCGCTCCCACCCAAGGTTACACTGCCCGCCTCCGAGCCGCTCCCCAACGGCGCCCGAGCAGCCGACTAGTTCGCAGGCTGCAGCCTCCACCATTGGTCGCGTGGCCCACGTGATCATATTTACCAATACCGGGAGTAAATCAGTCCGCTAAACTGGGGGCTGCTGTGATTTTTAAAAAAAAATCATCATCAACATGAGCGTTGCAATTAGAGCCCGCGGGCCCAGGTCCTGGCGCCCGCTCGGCCTGGCCCGGCCCAGCCAGCAGGGGCAGGGGCTGGAACCAGAGGCCTAAGTGCGGCCGCAGGAGGCGCTGGGGACTATTTGTTCGTCTCTTCGGGCGGCTCTGGGTCCTGCAGTCTCGACCTGGGCTCTGACTGCTCGGCTCCTGGGTTTGGAGGCGCGTGCCTGGCGTCCCGGGCACACCTAAAGGCTGCTCCAAAGCCCCGAGCATCCAGAAGACGCACAGGGTCGGTTGCTGCCCGCGGCAGGCGGGCCTTGAGGGGCGGCCCCTGGCGCCAGAGGGGAGTTGTTCTCCCTCGCCTGTTTTCTTACCGAAACTCACCCCTCCCGACACATACCCACACACGCTCACTCACAGCTTGTCGTGTTGTTTAAAACAGGTGGAAGACCTCTGTAATGATATTATGCCTTTCAATAAAAATTTTATGAGGTGTATTTGATTATAGATTAATGTCTCCCTAATAAAACGGACGGATGGAGCAGCTCGGAGGGCCCCCTCCCTCTACCACACTCACACACGCCCGCGCAGCCACACACACACACACACACACACACACACACGCACTCGACGTGAGGCTAGGCACACGCCGCGGCCGAAGGGGTGAGCTGGGGCAGCCGGGCTCTCCGGGCCAGGTCCAGCTGCGGGGCTTCTCTTCGCCCTCCGATGGGCGGTGGGAAGTGGAGTCCACACTGCGCGCTTATAGTGATGGCCAGGGTGCCTCATCTTCTTCCCGGGCTGCTGGGATGGCCCTGGAAGGAAACATTCCACAGAGGGGAAAAAACCAAAGGCTAGCGACCCTGCCCCTCGCTGTGCTGGGCCTGCCTGGATGAGGCTTTCGGGAACGGCTTCTCCGAGGGCAGGGTGGCTGCGGGCCTTTGCACTGAGTGGCTGGCAAGCGGATTCTGAAGATAGCTGCAAAACCCAGAGACCTGGACAGGTCCTTTGAGCCACTCCTTCCCAATTTTTACCCCCTTGACTCCAGAGGTAAGGCTGGGCAGCCTTGAATCTGAGAGAAATGCCCATGGTCACTCCCAAATCCATGGTACAAAGCCTTGGAAGCCCGGCTGGGAGCCGAGACAAAAGCCGCACGCCGGCGGCGGCTGAGAGGACATATTCCTCGCTCCACAAGTTGCCCAGCGCACCCTTGGAGGGCTCCCAGCCCACCTCCAGCCCCCTAAAGAAAGGGGGTAAATGGCTACTTATGGCCTGATTGATTGCTTTTGGGAATGGCTTTCTGATTTTGTTCCAGAGGGACTGCCCTTTCCTGTAGCACGGATGTTTCCCCCACTATCAACAACTAATGGCGCTCCCCACATCGCTGGGGGAAATGCCGAGATTAAAATTACACTACTTCTTTTGCCCATCCAAATTAAGTCTGGGGCAATTTTATTACAGTGTTCTCAAGCTAGTATTGAGTCAGATCCCTCTCTACCAACGGCAGGAACTATGCCCCTAAAGGGATGTGTCTTGGAAGTTGGGAAGGTTTCTGGTTTAGGGGAGGAAGTCTAAAACAATAAATACTGAGTGTCTCCAAAGACTCCCTGGATGAGGGCTCTGAAGCTCAGACGGACTAAATGGACTGTTCTTTGAGAGAGAAAAGGATGTGTGTGTGTGTGTGTGTGTGTGTGTGTGTGTGTGTGTGTGTTACTATTCTGTAAAACTCCTGTAAGTATTGGAGACCCTCTGAAACCCCAGGAAGGACCTGGGGAACAAATTCTGTCAGCCCCGGCCCCCTGAACCCATTCCCCCTTTTCTTTGGCAAGACTAGATAAATTTGGGCTCTCTGGTGGGGATTCTGCAGAAGTTGGTGGGAATTTTCCAAACTATGGATTTGAAAGGATCATTGGGCTTCATGAGAAGTCATGTTCACTTGCAAATTCTCTTTCAGTCACCTTTTCTTGAACCAGCATTTTGTAATTAAGTGGTGAGAGATTTGACGAAGGAGAATATTTTCATTTCTTCTTCTAAATTTTTTTTTCATGTGGGCCACTGAAAGGTAATGAACGAAAATAAAATCCTTTCATAAAGAATCCAAGGTAAAGTAGGAAAACTCACCCAACCTTGGCTTTGATGACCTGGCTGTCTTGAGCTTGGGTTGGGGTGGGGATGAGCAAAAGGGGGACACAATTGGATCCGATGCCATTGCTAGGCTGTGGCTTGTCCTGGTTCCTGTAATGGAGGCCCGGCAGGTTCCAGGTGAGCAGACTAGTTTCTGCCTAACCCCTGATGATGATTCCCCAGCCAGAAGTCATCAAGATCTCACTGAAAGCATTAAAAATAACATAACCAAAACCAAAGAGAGGAAAACACACAAATGGGGAGCTGAGAGGAATAAGCGGCATGGCATGGGATGCAGGCTTACTTACCAGGCTCAGGTTCTAGGGAAGCTCACTACCATTGAGAATGCAATTATATTATCAGGATTTGGGGGTGGGAGAGAAGAAATGACTTCTTTTAGTTTCTCAGCTGTGAAGACTGAACTGCCAGACTGAATTCTCATTCTCTCTCCCCACCATTGCCAAATTCTAACACCCTAGGCCGGCTCTAGCTTTTTACTCCCATCTTCTTTCACCTGCCCCCCCAAACTCCCCCACCCGACTGCCCCAAACAGGCTATTTAGCCAGATGAGACCCTCCCCAAAGGCTTTCATTCCCACAGTTCCAAGTTTCCATTTCAGAAAGCAGAAGGCACAAACTCGTTTTCAGAGTTTATTGCATTATACATGCTACCAAAACATGCACAGAAAGGACAGGTTGCTGTACTTCTACCAAACCACAGATGCACCATAAAGGAGAGGCTACAAGGCATAAGTCATCAATACTCCATTTCACCAAGGACAATTGCTAAGTTCATTTGTGAAAAGATACATTGTAATGTGCTTTTTAAGTTCCCCTCCCCCCAAAGCTTGTGGGTTGATTTAATCTTTCTTTTTAAATATATATGTAATTTTAAAAGTACTGGATGTTTTAAAATGCCATGAGTTCATGATCTAACCACACACAGAGAACTTTTGTGTTAGGAAAACATGAAAAAGTCACATTGCTGGTTGGATAAATGGACGGATGGATGGTTAGATGGATGTTCTACAGTTCCAATAAGTTAAGACCCAAATGGAAAATGCTCAGTAATAGTTACCCTGCATTACGATGAAAAAATAAATTACACGTGCTAAGTTTTTAATATATATATATATATATACTCATAGGGATTACAGATCACTTGCAGCACGAACAGAATGACCCCAAAGTCACATTCTAGCAGGAAAATAGAACAAAACAAAACAAAAAACAAAGAGCAATGAAGGTTTTTGTTTCCGCCTTCCCAGTCCTCCAGCACTTGGGCCTGGAACACGGTGCCCCCTCTCGGATCCTGGCCTCCCATGGGCCTCAGACCTAAGAAAAGGTGAGGTTGGCCGTCAGTTCTCGGATCCGATTCTCTCGGCTCATCTTCTTGAGTTTCATTCGGCGGTTTTGAAACCAAATCTTGACCTGCCTGTCGGTGAGGTTAACGCTCTTACTGATCTCTAGGCGGCGCTCGCGGGTGAGGTACATATTGAACAAGAACTCTTTTTCTAATTCCAGCGTTTGGTGCTTAGTGTAAGGGCACCTCTTCTTTCTGCCACTCTTTGCAGTGAGCCAATTGCTGGTTGGAGTATCAGACTTGATTTCCTCTAACAAAATTAAAGGGAGAAGAAAAAAAAATCAAAAATTTTTTTTCTCTCAGTCTGTTCAAATATACCCTTGGCCATGACCCTGCTGGCAGGCAGTCTGCTTTGGACAATGCTGGTATTTAAACATTACAAAGGTGGGCCTTCAAAGGGATTTTAAATTGATAACAAATTATAACTAAATGCTTAAGGTAACTGGATGGGTGAATACTCTGCATCAGGGTTCTCTCTCTCTCTCTCTCTCTCTCTCTCTCTCTCTCTCTCTCAACTTTCTGACTTGTATAAAACATTAGTATAACAGTAAACTTTCTAGGATTTCCCAAGCAACACCCTAAGTGCTCAGTCCATGACAGGCCAGGAATAGAAGAAGCCACAGCTTGGTCAGCCTACCAATCTCACAGCTGCTTCAGGGCCCCAAGTCTGCTGCTTTTTATCCACCTCTTCTTGTCCACCTCTCTTAGGCAGACAGGGAGTCCCACAGCCAGGTTTATAGGCGCCCACTATCTTTCAGGAGATAAATGAAGAAGCAAGGAATACCTTCTCCACCCTGGCTAGGCTTTGTTGGATGTCCCCCCAGAATTTCCTGGATTTTCAAATGCCTTTTTGCTCCCACACAAAAGCATTCCCCCAGAAATGAAACCCTAGCTTTGGCCCACCCCTGGACACTGAGAGGCTCAGGGGGACAAGGTTCCTTTTAGAAACCTGGATCCTGGTTCTTTGCCTTACACCAGCCCTAAGTGGGCAATGCAGATCCATTCTCAACCCCTCTGCCTTTGCCCTCTTCCTAGAAGATTGCAAAGCCTGCGGCACTTTCCCCAGACAAAGCCAAGGTTATCTAGCTCCGAAAAGGCAGAAAGCCCTCTGTTTCCTCACCCAAGCACCAACCTACCAAAACCTTCTTCCCCTGGTAGCTCGCAGGATGCGGGGTGCAAGCCCTTGAAAGCAAACACGATGCCTGTACCACCTTAAAAAGATCACTGGGTGCAAGGTAAAGTTGGGACTGAAAATCTAAGGAAAATAATGGAGGCTCTGGAGCCCTGTTTACAAGCCACAGATCTCCTTTTAGCTCTTTTGTTGCATTTCACGTCTGGCTCAGGAAAGATAAACCCGGCCAGCCCTTCCTCTGCTCAGGCGCCATCAGTGTGGGGCCAGAACTGGCCGGGAGGTCCAGAGCAGCGGAGAAAAGCGGGGACTATCTCAGGCTGAGATCTCCACTAAAAGCCGGGTGGAGCAGCACCTGCCAAGTCGGGCGCTGGGCTCCGCTCCCTGGGCTCCGCGCTGGGCACCCGAGCGCTCCCCTTCCACGGGTTTACCCCGCTGGGGTGGCAGCTCTGTTCATACCGACCTTTGCTTTCCTTCTCCTGCACTTCAGGACTGGACACGGAGACCTCAGCTAGGCAGCTCCTCTCTTCGGGAAGGCCGCCTTTGGCCTCGGGGCTCTCCACTTGGGAGACTTTGTTGGGCTCCTGGCCGCTCGCGGTTTCGTTCATCTTCTTTTCCATCTGCAGCTGGGCAGCGGAGAGCTGCGGCTTGGCCGCGCCACGAGGGTTGAGCTGGAGCATGACAGTGGAGCTGCCTTCGGGGCTGTTATTGTACTCTTGGGTTTTCCCGGTGGCGTAGGTCTGACTCAGTCTAAAATATCCAGGGACAGGAACCTCAGGGTTCTCAACGGGACAAGACTCGGGGACCAGCCTCTGGTACGAAGGGACCTCAGCAGAAATGAGTTTGTTGCGCTTATCAGAATACATGCAGCAATTGGATTCTTCTTTAATGTTGGTGGTGAAGGAGCAAGTGGGGACTTGCTGTGTAACAGGTTGTTCTATTCGACACGATCTGTTCGGGTCTGTCCAACTGTCTACTTGAGGTATATAAGGATGCACATTCATACCCATATTTTGGTGGTTCACTTCTCTTTTGGCCAGAGACGGGAGCAGTCCACAGGTTTGCATTCCATAGGTCCCCATGTCTGCGCTAGGTGGTGGCATGTACATGCTGGCGCTGCTCGAATAAAAACTGTCACTCCTGCAGGCACTGATCAAGGAATCTACTAAAAAAGTATTAGCAGCAGGAGAGCTGTTGGGAAAGGACATTTTGGGGAGGAATTTGAAGAAGAGAGATTGTGTCCTTTGTAGGCTGACATCTCTAGGAAAACATTCCCCGTGTAATTGTGGATGCCTCTGCCGACCACATGACAACCAAGCCAATGAGATTTGAAAATGGCCTTGAGCCGCAGCCTCCTTGCAGATCACGTGTTCCGGAGCCCGGCCGGCCGGCCGCGTAAGCACGGACAACAGCGACATCTACTACGCGCCTGTGATAGTGCGCGCTAGAGACAACCCGCCCAGAGCTCTGCGCTACAGGCCAGCCGGTCTCCCGGGGCTTGCTCGGCCTGCCTGCTCCACTCGAGTCCCCCGCCTGGGCCACCGGGCCCCGCCGGCGGAAGGAAAGGCTTGGTCGGAGGGAGGACACGCACGCCGAGGGAAGCCAGAGCGCCCTGGCGCCAGCTCACAGAAGCAGTTTCCCTGCACACACCAGGCAGAACGCGCCCAAGAGGGCCAGTCCCGGGCAAGGGGTAGGGGCGCGGGCTGATTAATTTAGTACTGGGCATCGGGGAAGGTGAGTCGATTTTCCCTGGTTCTCAGGCATCTCTTCCAAGGGAAAATAACCTAACCGGTGCAAAGATATAGCCCAAGTGTCCCGAGAAGAGCTGGTGAAAAGAGCTGCGAGGGCCGCAAGGCCACGCAGCTGGGCAGACCCCGAGCCCGGAGGGTGGTTGCGGCCCGTAGCTACCCTCTCCTTAGGTCCTTTGGCTGGGACTCCGAGGCCCTCCGCATCCCACGAGCTACTGGAGCCTTGGCTCTCTCAGGAACCACACCCTGACCTTTGAGGCGCCGGGCTCTGGGAGCTTTCAGCCTGGAGACAATCCTCCGCCAGCGTCCCTCAGGCTCCCAGAGAGAACTAAACCGAGATTTTCTTCCCCACAAAGTCTGATAATACAGGGCAGAAAAGAAGGAAGGGAAAAAGAAAATAATTTTCAAAAGAAGGGAGAAAACTCTGATCCTCCAACTCCAGAAGTTTTAGAAAACCGGACAGGCAAAAGAGAGAAATACAAAGGTGTCATTTGGTTCTTCTGCGAAGAAAAATATGTTTTCCTTTTATGGATTTTGTAAAAGCATTGGTTTCTGACAAGTGCAAGGTACAAAAGGTTGTGGAATTTATTAATACATATTAAGAAGAATCAGGGCGATCAATAAAATTCTCATCTACATTCTTGGGCTACTTGGTAATTTTCTTGCTTCTGAAGGTTTTTAAAGAGTTATACCCACTGTTGCCACAAACGGGAAGATATTTTATTAACAAATCAATCGAGACTTTGTAAAGGATAAGATTAATAGTTAAGATTTAGCATAATGGCATTCACTTTATGAATTATTGAAAATTATACTATTGATTTTTTTCCCTTCGCTACTAACCAGGAAGGTCAATTTTTGTTTTAATACAAATCGTCAAATATTAAAAGCTATATACTTTTGTCAGAAGTTGAGTTTTATAGTTTTGGACAATCCCTAAAATTATTTGACAAGCTTTTGCTTGGGTAAGAGAGGGAAGGAGATGGGGGGAGTCCTGGTCCTCTGTTTCCCGGTGAAGGAAAGTTCTATAAAGAGGATATGGTCTGGGGTTGTGGTCCAGCTCATTAAAGAACAACCAACCACTACCTCCACGGTGGAAACTCGGAGTTTTATGAGAAACTTGAACAACTTCCTCTCTCCTTCTCTGGTGGCAGGCGATGAGCTGTCCTGCAGAAGCTCGGCCTCGGGACAGCAGCAGGGAGCTTTAACCTTGATTTCCAAAGACTGCCCTGGGCCAGGGGCCTGGCCTCTGCAAAGGAGCTGTCCTTCGGCCTTCGGCGGCCCTTTCCCAGCAGTCAAAAAAGTAAAACGGACCCGGAAACTGACCATGAACCAGTTCTCTGTCCAAGAAGGCATCTGTGCTCTCTTCTCCCGCACTCACCCAGGCATGGGCTGGCCTTGGATTTCAGGCCCAGAGACTGAACTTGTGGATAAATCTGGTTTCCACCTCAAAAGAACATTTCTTTTGGAATCCGATGCTCATTAAGGCACCTCAGCTTTCTGGGGGACCTAGTCGGTGGTTGCCTGCTCCCTCACAAAAACATTTCAAAAAAAAAAAAAAATTAAAAACCCTCTTTATCCAACCCCCTTCCCCTAAAGGAATTTCTCCTGGCCTGATGAAAACAGGCGTTGAACATTATTTTCGGCCTTGGGACCGATTGGCTAGTCCCCTCTCAGTGCCCTCGCCCAAACAATAACCCCTTTTAAAAAACTCCGCAGTGGCAATGAGACAGACCTTTTAAACCTTTACGCAGCTGTTCAAATACAACATCATTGTCAGGTTAAAAGCCTGGCGCCTGTAACTGCTCTGGCTGCTGCACCCCGGTGGTATCGCTGGAGGTTTAAACATTACCTTTCTACCGAGGTGGCTATTTTTAAGCTGGGAGGTGGGGGCGTGTGTGCAGAGTGTTAAGTAAGGCAAGGAGAAAAAAAAAAAAAAAAAACCTTTTGACTCTAGGTTGCTAAGATCATGATCAAAACTAACAGCCTCTGATTAGCACCTCAGAATTTCCCTTTTTACATTGTGGAGATCATATTCTGAGCTACGATTAAATGTGCCTAGGGCCAGACAAAGTGCCCGATGCACTGCTTTCAGCGGTCTCCTTGACACCAGCTCGGCACTTCAGCTTTGTTTTGCCTTGCATCTCGGCCAGGAGATCTGCCCAGAACTCAACTGCCCAATTTTCCCAATCCCAAGTGAGGCAGGACTGTTCAATCTAATCAGGAATTTTATGCCCATCAAATGCCCTTTCATAATCTTTATTTATACAGGAAGAAAACATCCAGGCTAAAATCAAACAAGTTCTTGCAGATCCGGTAAGTCTTCAGTGAACTAGGGCAAGCAGGATCTGCCTTCTGTATTTGGAAGGGATGTTTTCTGTTTCAGTACCCCATGGCTTCGAGCTCAAAGTGATCGCATATTGGATTGGATTTTAAATAGATCTTCACTCACAGGGGGAAAATGTATATATCAAATTAAAAATGCAATCTATTCTCGAAAGATAATATAAATTTTCTCTTGTGAATTTCTGCTCTCAAATCCATTTCTTGGGGCTAAAGATTGTCAATATTTTATATTTCTATCTTTAAAAAAATCGAGCAAAATGAAAATACTACAAAAGAGGCTAGAAAGTGTGTCTTAAGACCTTAGGGCTGACACGAAGCAAATGGAATGAAAAGTCAGTAGCTTTAAAGGCCAACTTTATTTTGCTTAGAGTAGCTTAGACTATCTAATGTAGTGACTATTTTTGATCATCTTTAGAGCAGTTAATGTTAATAATAAGTCAATATTGACCATTAAAGAGATGAATACCCATGTTTGTACCAAGACGCCCATCTCTCCGGCACAGTTCTTTCCAGAGAAAAATTAAAAGGTCGCCTTTGCAAGAAATTATCATTTGTAATAAAAAAGTGGCTTGCCTCTGCACTTTCTGTGGGGAAGAAGAAGGGAGGCCCTGGGCCTAAGAGGACATAGGGGCTCCTCGAGTCACCCTGAATTAGAGTTGAGAGCCAGCTCTGACTATGTCAGGCTTTGGAGATACAGTGGCTAGGGATAAATTAAAAGCTGTTTCCCCAGGGCGCCCCTCCCGGTTGCACCGAGCACCATCGGACCAAGGTGAAAAGAAATAGAAGGGGCAAAAAGAAAGACCACCACCTACGAGATAGGGATCCACAGAAACTTTCCAGCAAAAGGGACCTTAGCCTCTTTCTATACAGACACAAAAGACTCTTACTTCACGCATTTTTCCCCTCTACTTCAGAATCTGAGCCCTTGGCACCTCAGGATCCGTGGCCACCATCAAGGAGCCCCACGCACCCAGAACGGCCTAAGAGGGACAGGTCTTCAGCCCCCCCCGCCAGGTTCTGGTCCCATCCTCTGGCCCTTATCAGGCCGATGTTGAGCGCCATTGGGAAGAAAGCCTAGCAGACGGATGAGCAACGGTGGTCCGCCGGAGACTGCGAGCCAAGTCCAAGGGGCCCTCGTACAGCCAGATGCGCCGCGGATAGGGCCGCCTACAGAGGAACCCAACGACATTTGGGGTGGGAGGTCTCACCCCACATAGATTAGAGCCCGAATTAAGCCCTAAGAAAGGTCCCTTTACAAGAGTTAAGCTGGACTGGCGACCAGACAGGCGGAGCCGGGTATACCCGCGGGGAACACCCACGCCTCTCGCTGGCGTCCCGCCGGGGAGTCGTGGCGCCCCAGCCTCCTGCAAGCCAGTGCCAGCTCTCGGAGGCCAGCGAGCTAGCGGACAGGCGGGCCCTAAAGCGTGAGGTCCAGAGAATTGTCGACGAGAGACAGAGGCCAGTACAGTTCCTCGGGGTTGCAGGCTTTCTATAGGGAACTTCGGGCTAAAGGGGAGCCGCCAACCTCCCTTACAGCGGCCCTGTCCGGGAGCCCCGTCTTCTCCCTTTTGGATTGCCGACAGGGATACAAGAGGAGGGGACATAGGCATTTCCCAACGTCCGGGTTTTTACAGGGCTAGCGAATTTAACTGTCTATGAAGGCCAGTGCCAAAAGCAAACTGCTCACCTCAAGGTCAGCCGCTGCTAGGAAGAGTGGCCGGATTCTGTCTAATACAAAGCCCGGTTACTTCAAAGACATTCCCATTCCTAATACTTAGAAATATAAACGTCCCCACGCGAGAGCCTGCTGTCTCCCGCAGGCGCATCAGTCCAGTCTGGCAACGGCACCCCAATTCCTAGTCCTGTCTGCCCCTCGGGGTCACCAGGGTTAGCACCATGCTATGTGTGGACCTAAATCCTTAGCCCAGAACGACGTCCTAGCCTCAATGCGTTTCGTTTTCTCCAAGTATACCCTGGGCTAAATTGCCAACGCCCTAATCTGTCTTAAACAAAAACCTTTTAATCATCCCAGCGCTCTGAAAGCTCACAAGATGCGCGTGGTTTGGAGGAGACAGGGAGGAGGCATCCTACGCTTGTCATCACTCTCAACACTCAAACCAACAAGAAAATAGATTTTCTCTAATTTAATTAACTCTCAGTAGCTACGACGTATTTCTAACCACAGTCGATAAAAATTCTTTTCTCAACACTATCAGGTTATACACCAAAGTATTCTTTGCAGCAGCTTTATCTTTAAGGAAACAAGTTAGGAGATCAGCTTCAGGAGTGTCACAGACTCCTTTCTCTGTCTCGCTATAGCTTCTCACACCTCAAAGCTTCTTAGAACAAACAAACAGCAAACACCTTAGCTGCTGCGAGTTTCTAACGGACTGGCCGAGATCCCTTATTAGAATCCAGCATTGGAAAAATAAGGTGCCGCTGCTTCTTGGCAAATGAGGTTTCTAGAACCTGAGCGCGCCCTCGTGTGGCTGTCTCAGCCCCTGCAAACGGGAAATGATATTTCTTGCCTTAGCCTTGCGTTTGGTGGTTGGCACAGAGCTTGTATCTTTAGATGCAGTTAAAAGAAGAAAGATGAAAAGAGAAAGAAACAAACCAGTTTCAATTTCCTTGAAAGATCATACTATTAGGACATTGATATTTAAACCAAATGTCCAGAATTCTAAACAAAGTAATCCCCTTCTGAACAAAATAATTCAATTGTCTGCTTTGTTTCTACAGCATCTTTCATTAAAAGCTGAGACACGCTTTCAAAAACAATATAAATATATTTTATTTTGTTCTGTACCTTAGGGTGTGCCACAATTTGTTAACATGATGGAAAATTGCTGTCAAATACTGGGACACTGTAAGTCTGACTAGAACTTACACTTTCAAATGCCTTCTTTTAAAAATGCTGTTCTTCCTTAGAGCAAAGAGAATCACTTTCTAAGATCTTCCCAAATTCTCAGTGCATCCTAGCTGTGGTGATGGTTAATAAGCATTTTAATCTAGCCAGTGGTTTTTTTTTTTTTTAATGTCAATTGCTATTGAATTACTCAAATGTTTGGAGAGAAATTAAGGTTTGATCCTGAAATTAGGAATTTTCTTAGATTTATGGTGAGCCCCCAGTATGATTCTGTGTGGTCATAAATATGTGTATGGGTCTGGATGTGTAAGCATGTGTTATGAGAGTGGGTGGCGGTGGAAAATCACAGAAAAACCTTAAGGCGCCTAATTATTCAGAGAGGTTAAAGGTGATGACCTTGACATTTGGAAGTTCAAAGGCATACACTTATGCACTTATGTTTTTCTTTTTCCCCCAAAGCCTTAACAATTACAAAAATTTATATTTCAAAATGCATACTTCCTAAGAGTATGCCTGAGGTGCTGTGAAGCTTATGGATTTATATTTTGACTTTGGGCTTCTGAGAGGTTAAGAGTCATAAGATCCACTTCACTCTTCTTAGAGAAAGAGAAGCTTTTCTCACTTCTCCAGTTTATTGCACATTGCGGAAATCTCTTTTGGTCCCACCAGAAGGTGTATAATATAACCCAATTAAGCTGTTTAGAACTTTGGCTTTTATGGTGTTGTCTAGACAGTTCAAGGTTTTGTAAACAGCCTGGCCTGGTCCTGCAACATAAAGTGCAGTGCAGCCCTCACCACATTCTTTAAGTTAAAGCGATAAATGCACTGAGAAGCAGGTCTGCAGCCCCTAGCCTTAGTTCAGTGACTCCATTCCCTGAGCCATGCTCACTACACATCAGCAAGGACCTCATGCCCCTGCACCCACTAGCTTCTTTTTAGCAAACTTCTCAAAGCTCATGAAGTGTTCTATTTTTGTTGTTTCTTCTTTTAAGGAACTCTGGCTCCTTGTCTCCTTGTTAAGAGATCATTTGAATCTTGTAAGTAGTTAAAACAATTGTTCTGAATTTCCAAAAATTCCAAGTTCATTAGTCTAGGAGTGGTGGTAGGTGAGGATTTGCTTCTTAAGCTCCTAAGACTTCAGCCTCATTGCCTGGAAAAGACAGTAACTAGCATAACTAGCTCACATCAATTCAGAAATGTATCACTAACATGATTTTAACACCAGTGTGGCCTAGAGGGGGCTTTTGAAGAAACAACTCCTATTATAACAAAATCAAAAAGTGTTTCACTGTATTTTCAGTTACTTGGGGCACAGGGTTCTGGTCACTAGGATATCCTAATCAGCCACTAAACTTCTTCCGAGAGGAAAATCCATTTTGCTAGAACCATTTATTCCATTTTGCTAGAAACCATTTATTCACACACAAAAAGACAGTGACTCATGCCCAAAGGTACATTTCCCAGAGTTTAAATAATCAGCGTTCACTGAGGAGGAAGAAAGGAATCTCTCAAGCTCGGAACAAAACACCAGCTCCTTCTAGCCCCATGGCCTAACTCCTGACAGATCCCGCCGCGACCCCGTGTCCCCACGAGGACTCGGAGAGAGGGGGAGGAAGAACAACAGCACATTGGCGGTAAAATTGTAAAGGGACGTTTGCATTTACCATTTTCCCCTTATTAGGATCCGCTTGGCCAAGTCCCCGGCCTCGTCCTCAGGCTGCAGTGGTCGCTGGGAGGTCCCGAGTTGACCGTGGGAAGGAATCGTGAAGTTCCACAGAGAAGAGGCGTCATTGAACCCAAGGACATTTGGCCTGAGAAGGGCAGGCTGGTGGGGAGGAGGGTGGGTGAGTGGGGCTCGGGGGAGGGGGTGCTTCTTGGAGCTCTCAAAATAAGGGGTTTCCAGTGAAATACTGCAGACGGTCTCTGTTCAGTTTCTTTTCTTTCATCCTGCGATTCTGGAACCAGATTTTGACTTGCCGATCAGTGAGGTTGAGCATCCGAGAGAGTTGGAGTCTTTTCTCTTTGTTTATGTACACGTTAAAGAAAAACTCACGTTCCAGTTCCCGGATCTGGTACTTGGTGTAGGGACAGCGCTTTTTCCGGGACCTCTGGGGGGCCACTGCAAGGCAAAGAGACCAAGGGTTGAGAGACTGCTGCTTGCCCTCGCCCGCCAGCTCAGGCCACTAAGCTAGGTCCAGGCCCTGGCCGGGTTAGGAACGTCCCCTGCCGCGGCTGAAAGGCCCTGCCTGCGTCGTGGGGGATGATATATGGGCGGGCACAGGAAAGTGCGGGCGTGGACAAGTGTTCACGCCCGGACACACCACACACGCACACACACACGCACACACACACACACACACACGTGCGCGCGCGCGCGCTCACACACAACCAGCCTGGCACTGAGATAGGGAAGAGGAGGGCGAGGCAGGCTCTGAATTGGAACCCCGGGGAGAGAGACAGGAGCGCGCCTGCCTGGGCATCTGCTCAACTGTAGCTGCGCGTCAGTAAGTGGCTTGGATAAAGTCCAGTGCAAAGATCACCCACCCCCTCCCTTCAAAACAGAAGGGTCTGGTGTTTCCACTCACCAACTGGCTCCAAATGTCCTGCCCTCCTCTATGGTACTCAACCCACCCACCCCCACCCAAAAAGAGGAAAAGCTCTCTGCAACTCGAAGTCTACCTTAAGCCCACCTAAATTGGTTTCCTATCATAAACACGTTTACAACGACCAGCGAAATCTTATAGGATGTATAAACCCCTTCGAATGCTTATAAAGTAGCACATAAAACGTCGCGAGCCGAGGAAGGCCCCCGCACCCCGCCCCTCCGCCGCCCGGGCCAGCCCCTCGGCCGGGTGAGCCGGGTGCCTACCTGCTCCGCTGTTCTTCTCGGCCCCCGCCTCCCTCGGGGGTTCCTCGCCGTCGCCGCTGCTACCGCCACCTTCCGCTGCCCCCTTGGGCTCCGAACTGGGGGTCGTTTTGGCGCAGGGACTGCCCCCGCCTCCACCAGCCCCGGACTTGGGGTCGCCCTTGTCAGTAGAGCCCTCGTGCTGGGGCGGCAGGGGCACTGGCGGGGGTTGCGGGCCGGTGAACGGGGGTCCCGGCGCCGCCTCGTAGAACTGATCAAAGCCCTGAGGCAGGATGCCATTGCGGCCCACCGCGTTGAAGAAGTTGGAGGCGGTGCCGGAGGGGCCGTGTGGCGGCCCGGGAGCAGCGCACACCGGCTCTGGCGCCTTGAACAGCACGTCTGGCCGGCGGCCGGCGGCCGGGAGCAGCTCCCGCTGCATCGCCGCTTCTTCCGCAGCTGCGGCCGCAGCCGCGGCCGCAGCCGCTGCGGCGTAGTAGGGAGCGTAGCCCCCGGAGCCGCCGCCGCCCCCACCAGGGCCACCCCCGCCGCCGCCGCCCCCAGCGCCGCCGCTGCCACCACCGCGGTACGGCCACTTGGCGCGCTCCAGACTGTAGTCACGAAAGGCCACTTCGCGCACCGGCTGGACATGCGGCGCCAGGTTGGAAGAGTAGGGGAAAGTCATCTGGCAGGAGGACGGCTGTGAGAGGAACGACGGCTTGCTAGCGAAGTCCGACGGGGCCACATAGTAGGCGCAGCCCGGCAGGTACATGCTGGTTGCGCTCGGGCCGCACTCATCAAAGTCGTTCATGGCTCCGTGGCGTGCACGCCCGCAAGCCTCGGGCCGCTCCCCGCGCCGCCAACCTGAGCCATCGATTGCACAAGAGGCTTGGGCCAGGATCAACTAAGCAAAAATCCCCACCGGGCGCTGACGTGCAATTCATCTTGATTGATTCTGGTGGTAATTATGTCACGTGACGCCATGGAGAGAAATGTCCTTATATCTATATCAGCACTCGCCAACACGCCCCGGGACTGCTCCTGGCGCCGAGACGCGCGCACGCTGGGGGCGGATCGGCCTCGCTCTCCCGCCAGCTCTCCCAGGGTGCTGTCTGACCAGGCTGCGCCGCAGGCCGGTCACCTGCGCGCCGCCGGCGGCTGCCACCGCTGGGCGCATCTGCCACCGCCCAACTGGGCCGCCCGCCCGCCTTCGCCCTCCCGCGCCGCTTTAAGTACGCGGACCTAGGCCGGAGGGGAGGAGGAGGGAGGGGGGAAAAGGGGGAGGAGGGGGGAAAGGAAAGAAGCAGAGAGCGGAGAGGGGAGCCCCAGCCCTGGCACTGGGGACAAGGTGTGAGGGTGTGAGGTTCTCACCCCCACCCCCTTTCCTGAAGCCGTTCCCTCCCCCACGACGCCGCCACCCTTTGCAGCTCACCCGCAGGGAGCTTGTTGCTTCTTGTTCAAGGGGCGTGAATACTCCACTCTCCAGGGCTCAGGGAGCCCTGATTTACATATTTCTCTGCCCAAAGCCTTGGTCTCGTAGTAATGTGGCTCTCTCAGGTTCTGACACCCGGGACGCCAGTGCAGACCTCAGAAAAAATGCAGGCGAAACGCCTCCCAGGCATTAGCCTTGGCCTGGGCCTCCGTGCCCACTGGACCCTCTCTTTTCTTTTCCAATTTCCCCCTTTCTGTGCCGTTTCCTATTTTCCGCCTTTAACCTTCGCCTTCTCCCTTCTCTCCTCTCCCTCTCCTTTTCCTTCTTTGCATGCCTTCTTCTTTCTTTCCTTTCAGCCCTGTTCCTTCATTCTCTTTCCCCAATCTCTCTCTCTCTCTCTCTCTCTCTCTCTCTCTCTCTCTCTCTCTCTCTCCCTCCCACTCCCACCCCCAAAAGAAGGGCGTTGGGTTCGGTCAGCAGCAGACACCCCTACGTCCTGGCTTCCCTCAAAGCTTGAGGATCTGGTGAACAAAAGGATCTGAAGTCCTACTCCAAAGCACCCAGGCCCCTACTTACCCCTCGGGAGGGACAAACCCCTGGCGGTGTTGCCTTCCTCACTCCCCAACACTGTGTGGAGCCCAGCTAAGGCCTGAGCAATATCCTGGCTTGTCCCCAAGAATCCCCTGGAGCCCTGGTCTGCAGGGCCATTGCAACTCCCTGGGAGATATGCTGGTTCTCCAGGGGTTCTCCGTAGTGCCAGTCTCCACAGTGAAGTCCAGCTGCACCACCTGGCTCTGAAGTGGACTTTTCAGGACTCCATCCACTTGCTCACTCTCTTCTGGCTGCAGCAACCCTTTCCCAGCTCTGGAGTCCAGGAGAGGCCTGGTCTCCCACCTCCGGGAGACCAGGCCCTTTCTAAAGGTAAACTGGTCTCTCCTCAAATCCAAATCCCAGAACCAAAGGCCTCCTTCCCTAGGATTCTTCTGTCCAGGCAACCCAGCACTGAGGCCTGGGCCTCAGCCCTATGCCCTGGGCAGGCAGCATTGGCTGTAATACTGGTTCCCTCCCAGTCCCCAGGCTGCTGCAGTACTGATCCTGTGCTCTCTGCACACGGTGCCAACAGACAGAGAAAAGGCGGGTGGTCTGAGTTAATTTCTATTTTCTAGCTTATGTCCTCCTTCTTCCTCTTCTCCCTCCTTTTCTCCCTTTCTCTCTTTCCTTCACCGCTCCCACTTCTGCTTCCCTCCCCCCAACACTGCACAAACAGATCTGTGGCAGGGGCGAATGTAGCTCCCACCCAACTGTGCATCCTATGTGACCCCTCCCCACAGCTGGCACCCCCGCCCAGATTGTTGCTGGCACTATTCTCCTAGCCCAGACCCCAGGCATATTTATCTGATTCCCTATCTCCATCCCAGTCCCAAGCCTCTCCCTTTCTTTCGCTCCTGGTAGACACCCCTGGATCTGTCTCCTAAAATGGCTCCCCAGACACTGTTCTGGGGTCGCCCAGGACTGAAGGCTGTGGCCTGGAGCCCCAATCATCCCATGTCTTAGGGTGCAAAAAAATCACCGCGTCTTCTTTTGCTCACCCCACCGAGTGGGTTTCCAGGCAGACCGTCACCCTTAAAGTGAAGTCTTCTACCCGCCGAAAAGGGAACTGGAGAGGAGGAACCATTCAAGTTCAACGACATGGCGACGGCAGCTCAGGCAGGAGCCGCGCTTTGGCAGGGGAGGGTGCGCCATCTGCAGCGGCGCTGGGGCGCATAGGGGAAGGGGCGACCACCCCCCTACACGCTTTAGCGTGCACAGTCGTCTCCACACACCACCCAGGATATTAAATCCTGGCCCAGCCCTCTTCGCTGCTTGGCCCCAGCTCTGGGCTTGGTCCTCACCCCGAAAAACCCAGGAAAATCCACAGCCCCTGGACCCGCGCGTTCCTCTAGAGAACCTACCGTTGAAGATCCGGGCGCTGTGTCCTTGTCCTGGCTTCTGCGGCCCCACCCGAATCGCAGGAAGCACACAAGGCCTTTGGGGCTCGGCAAACAGCTCTGAGAACGATGATAGCTTTCTGCGCAGCGCGTAGACGCGATGTGGTAATTTTGAGCCACCCAAGATAAGACACTAACTTGACCTTAACTTTGTCAGGGCGCCCCTGGTATCTGGAGAACGTGAACAGACACTGTCTGGCAGCTCTCGTAAAAGCTGACTGGGGAAGGGATTCTGAGTCATTTCATTTATTGCCACTACAGTTCTGCAAGAAAGCTTTTCCTCCCTGCCAAACTTTAATTATTTATGCTCTTTTAGGAAAGGAAAGAAGAGAAAAGCGGAGAGGGGGGGCACTCATCCAGTCCCTTCCCTGCGGAGCCTTCGGAAAGGACTTCTTAAGTCAAGAGACTGGAAAACAAAAATAAGGGGAGATCACCTTTGTCCTAGGGCAGTCTGACGGGGGCTGTGCCCCACCACCACTACTGAGGGGGGGTGGATGCAGCTGGAAGAGACCTGTGATGGAGCACACATACACCTCCCTCCTCCACCACCAGACATGAATATTTACAATGATTCTGGATTTCTCCTCCACTGGCCCGAGCCCTGGAAGACTCCCTATTCGGCCTCCCTTGGGGAGAACCCCCGGCCTTAAAAGCTTCCCCATTTCGGCCTCCTGAACTAACAACGGCTGAATACCAGGATAAACCTTTCTTTCTCATTTTAAAACCTTTTTCTTAATCAAAAGGCCACGTGGACTGCTGCATTTCAGAGGAGGCTTTTATCTTCCTACGAGGGAATGTAGAGCACTCAGATTTCAGTATCATTTCTCTGTGGCAATTGTTTCTCCTCCTGATTGCAAATTTCTGCTAGGACTTTGGCTAGGGAAGAAGACACCGTGGTCTTTGAATTTGTGTGGATCAGTAAAGGGGATACATTTGGAAAACACCGCTGGACCACCGACAGATAAGATTTTATACTTAGAATAATTTAATTTTCTTTGTGGATTGACCTCTATGAATGTTTCCCCCACTCCAGACTAAAGAGAGGGAACACTATGATTTAGTGTTCCTTCATATACATGTAAAGGGACACAAAATCATATATGTAATATTGTGTGTGTGTGTGTGTGTGTGTGTGTGTGTAATAGCCTACATGTATTGTTTTAGGGCTTGGGTCTGAGTAAGTCTAGTTTTTTCTTCCTTTCCCTAGACCTCTGGACCCAAAGATCTCAGTACAGCTTCCACCTTTGTTCAGTTGTTTTTGAGATTCAGACTCCAAAAACATGGCTCAGCACCCTTGTATCCCTCCCCAGCCAGATGGGGAAGGATTCTATCTACAGGACCTCAGAAACCTCTTGCTTTTTTACTTTCTCATTGTGTATGTGTATTTTAAGATAAGAATGACAAATAGCATATATTTTGCATATAAATAAAATTTGTTTCCCAGAAAGGGAACTGGAATGTTGAATATTCTGTGTTAGAGATATATTGCTTTTGCTTACTCTTCCTTTAGTTAGAAGCTAATTATCACCTCCACAAGTTAGGAGTCAGGATTTTCAAAGAACTTAGTACTAAGCAGGCCCTAGCTTTACTTAACTGAGCTCTAGACTATAAAGGCATAGGATCTTAAGGCTGGACTTCCCAAGGGGGCCTGCTTTTCCTTGTGGAAAAGCCTAGGGGATCTTCATAGGACGTAGTTTGTTCCAGACAATCCTGGCCAAAGCTTGGCAGAGAGCTGTTTGGTTTTGAAATCCAAGGAGTCTCAAATCTTGACTGTCCCTTCCCCCACCAATAACAGCAAACTTAAAGTTTGAAAATTTAGGCAAATCACAGAATCTTCAACCTACAACAAGTTGAGAGTCCTTTTATTGTTCAAAGGATTCCCCCACTCCTGCTTTTGAATTCTTCACATATATTTTGTCCATAGTTTTTAATACACAGTTTCCTGACTGCCTCAGAAGCCATTTTCTCATTTAATGAACAGAGTCAATACTGGAGATGAAACCCGCAACCAGGGAAAAACAAATTTGGTGACCTGAAAAACTTTACAAAGGAATCTAAAGCATTTTCAAACATCAACTTGTCTGGAACCTGGGTATTTATTTCCACTATGTGTCTAATATATACAAGGAATTTTTTCTGACAAAATCAAAACAAAATATGCATGTAACTATTAGCACAGAAAATGAAATTATTTTAAACACCAACTGATGCTTGGAGTGAGGCTCAAGCATCCTTGTGAGGTGACTCCCAGGTCCAGGTCCTGGTCCTTCACTGAAGAGACACCATTAGAAAGGAATCATGAACCGCTGGGATTTTGTGCATCTTGTTAGAAGTATGGTGGTAAATCTTAGAAAAAGAGGCAAGAATCTTGTGTGTGTGTGTGTGTGTGTGTGTGTGTGTGTGTGTTTTATTCACTGAGAAGGCTGGGTACAGTAGTAAACCCAGAACAACTCCATCCACCCTTCTAGAACCCCAGCTTCTCTACAAGATAAATCTGGCAGGACTCAAGGCCTTAAAAGTTTTACTGGGCCCTGCCAAACAAGCCTCAGAAAGGGTACAATAGCTGGGCTTTGATGGAGTTGGTGGGTAGGTACAAGGAAGTTCTGGTTTTCTCTGCTCTTCAAGGGTAGCAACCACAGGCTGAGAACCCGAGAGTTCTCTTTTTCCATCTTGTTATTCTCACGGAGGAGTTTTTGCCTCTTCTTGTGGTGGCTGATTAAGGTAATTCAAGGAAGACATGTGGAAACCTTCACCCACCTCAAGAGAAAAGCTATATTTACAGCAGAAGTGTAGAATCCCCTCCTCCCTCAATTACTCCCCTTTCCTCTCCCCGCATGTCTTTCCCTCCTCCCTGTGCAGTCAAGCCTCAAAACAGGCGAGCAGCTCCCCTCATCAGAGCTCACTTCTAGAGGTCCAGTTACAGACAGCATGGCTTGGCTCAGGCATAGGTGAGGTTGGAGTAGGGGAATTTTGCCAGTCTTGTCTAGAGATTGTGATTTGTTCTCGACTCCCAGCCTCTCTCATCCAATCTCTGAGAAGGAAACCTTTCAGCCCATTCTACTCAGCTGGAAAGCCTTTACAGATCTGGGATTCCAAGGTACCCCCTCTGCCCCTTCAAGTCTGAAGGTCTAGGAGGGATTTTTGTCTTCCCAAAACATCCAGGGCAGATGGGAGGTGGAGAAGATTAGGCCCTTTCTTTCCTCCAGAGTGGAAATCCCAGTATTGCCACAAAGAACTTCAGCTGCTGCCAAGAGACTGAAGTTATCTACAGCCCTTTTCTGGCAACTAGGTCCCAAGGAAATCTTACATGCATGCATGTCTACTCCAAGCTCTAGATAGGCTCTTACTAAATGCAGAAAGAGCTGGATAGAAAGAGAGAGAGAGAGAGAAAGACAGAACTAACAGGTTGGAAAATGAAAAATCAAAATACAATGGTTCAGTAGTGAGCCCTGGATACAAATGTCCCAGACAGCAAAGACAGGTGACCCCAGGCCTCAGGCAGAGTGCTTAAAGCCAGTGTTAGATTGCAGTTCGCAAACACCTCTTAGGCGCTTCTCAAAGAGAACTGAAAGTGTAATGGTCCAACTGGCCTCATCTTCAAATCCCCTGCTGGCACTTGGGCTGCACACCGAACTGGACGGTATCTGGTACCAGCCAAGGAACCAAAGAAAAAGCTCCAGGCCCAGCACCACCTCCGCAGCCAGGCCTCGGTCCAAAAGGGCAGGCTCGGCTTAGCCGTCGCCTAGGTGGCGCGACTAATAAAGGGCCAGTGCCTGCTCCCGCTGTACCACACGCTTCTTCTTCATACGCCGGTTCTGGAACCAGATTTTGACCTGCTGGTCACTGAGATTCAGCCTGTTGGACAATTCCTTGCGCTTCTGCCGGTTGATGAATTCATTGACCAGGAATTCGTTCTCCAGTTCCGCAATCTGCTGCTTTGTGTAGGGTTTCCTCTTCTTGCGGGCCCTCCCCGGGGCCGCCCCCCATGGCAAGCCTGAAACAGAGCCCCGACCCCTGTCAGCCCGCTTAGGTTCAATTGCCCGCCCCCAGCAGTTCGCCTCGGCTGGCGATTCTCCTCCCAGTACATCTCTCCCTTACATCCCACCTCCCGTCCCTGCCCTAACCGGCCTGGGGAGCACGGGCACCGTTTACCGTCGGGCAGCGAAGATCGAAGGCAAGGGGCGACACCCGCCACTTGCACTGTCATGTTCAAGTTGAGCGGGCCTTTGGTGTCTTCCTTGATGCTGGAGGTGCAGGGGGGCCCCTGGAGCAGGGTCGCAGAGCTGGGCACCGCCCGGCCCACACCCCCGTAGTCGTACTTGGAGGCTTTGAGAGCAGCAGCGGAGGGAGCCAGACCTGACCCTGACTCCGGCGCAAACGGCGGCCTGATTCGGCAACGTTCTTCAGACCCAGTAGCTGCATCCGGCGTATAGAACTTGATCTGTTCTTCGGGTCCGTCCTTGGAGCCTGGAGACTGCAGGCCAAGAGGCCCAGAGCCCGCCAGATAGGGCTGGGAGAATCCTCCAAAGGCAGTGGCGCTGGCAGACTGCGCCGGGGCGCAGGAGGCGGGCGTGGCGGCCCAGGGAAGCGCGCCGCGCGGGTAGGAGATGGGGGGAAGCGCGGCCAATTGGCTGCCATTGGGCCTCAGGTTGGAAAAGTAGAAAGAGTCGGGTGACTGCAGATTCAGAAGCGAGCCCACATAGCCCGCTCTGTAGAGACTGCGCTCACACATCTCCAACAAAGGGCCTCCGCTGCGCTCGCAACAGTATTTAGTTACAACCCGGAATAAGAGGACAGGCTCAGACGATTGGACGAAACATTGCCTGCAGGTTCTTCAAAGCCGGTCATTTCAGCACCGCCTACATCCCCCAACCCGTTCCCCCCCCCTTCAGGGTATTATGATAACACCCGCAGTGTTCGACGGCAAAGGACGAGGCTGCCAGCAGAGCCAAAGCATGTTGAGGGAAGGTGAACCCTTTGGGAGTTTCTTGGACAGTTGCAAGAGCTGGTGGCATGGGGCTGAGGGTGCATTTGCCCAAGTGTCCCTTGGGAGTTTTCCGGGTCTAGATCGACTTTGTGGGCCTGTTTTCTGTGGTGACCTGAGCCAGGCTTGCTTCTACTGACTTTAGTTGCAGCTTAGACATTTTTTGGTAAGGGTGCCTCTGTGTTTAACTGGAGAAGGTTTGGCAGGGCCACCAAGTCTGTCCCCTGAATCGAAACAACACCTCTACTACACAAATTCCTTAACAGAAAGGACCTCTCAGGAAGTCTCCACCCATGGTATCTGGTAGCAAAGACCCACTCACTGCGTGAACCTCGAGTCTCAGGAAGCAGAGCCCAACCCTAGACGCAACCAAACCATGGACAAAGCCATTACAAAGCCCAAGTTTGGCACCTAGGAAGGCTTTGCCACACTATTCCTGGTGTTCGTCCCCGGGAACTTTGCTCCTTTGTTATCTAGGTCCACCAGGTAATCCAGGAGTTCCAGGGCCAATCTTGCCCAAAAGCTACATTCCTTTTATCTACTCCTCCCTATAAGCCAAAATTCCGAGGTGTCTATCCACTCTGTGGCTTACCAAGCCTAACAAACTCCGGACTGAGTGTGGAAGGGCAGAAAAGCCAGAGCCACAAAAGCCAGAGCTACTTGGCTAAGGAAGAGCAGGCTACCTAGGCAACCAAGTAGCAGCGGTTCTTGTCTCTGTGCCTCCAGGCACACAGGCGGCTGGCTTGGCAAAGAGGGAGGCAGGGAAACTCCGATAGCGGTTCCTCTTGAACAGAGGAATGTATGCATGTCACAGGCCCTCTTGGGTAGTCCAGGTGGATTAGGGCTCTTCTTTTCCAGTGACATGGGCACCGGCCTTAGCCTGGAGCAAGACCCACGGTCCCTGAGCCAAGCTGGAACTGGTTAGACCGCCAGCTCTGGTAAGGAGACCACACAGGCGCCACCAGAGGGCAACCACCTGACCACCTCGCTGAGACTTTATTGTGTGAGTTATGGCGACCAATTGGGCGGCTCTCGAGGACGCAATCAGCCTCTTCCTCCTGCTCTGGTAGGGTAGGGGTGGGGGTAAGTCTAGGGCTCCTCTGGGCACTGCCAGAGTTTCCTCAGGGGTTCAAGCATTGGGAGAAGCACTCAACTGCCCGTTCTTTGCTAGGAGGTGGTAGGCATAAGCTTCAACGCCCTTCCTAGGTACCTGATGGCTTTTGTTTTGGGGAACTCGCCTTTCTCTGTAGGAGAAGCCTCTGGCCCTAAAGCTCAGTCCTAGGAGTCATTGCAGTCTCCAATCCACCTCAATGCACAGGGATTCTCCCTTGGTAGTGCCAAGCCGAGGGATGTCTCCCTATGACTCAGGATGTCTTATAGTCCTGTTTGCCTCTCAGGACTAAATACATGAAGGAACTAAGTGAAAAGAGCAGCTTAGACTTTCTCCACTGTTTCTTGCTTAATCGACCCACTTCATCTCCCAAATTTATAACTTTCCAGGTCTGGTAAGCAAAGTCTTTCCGGAGAAACTAGGAACTGAAGCTGAGAGCTGGAGGGAGGGAAAGGGGAAGGGGAGGGGTGTGGGAAGGAGGAGGCTTGGCTGGGAATCGGAAAGGCACATCTGGCCCGGAGCTGAACTGTGAGCTCTGCGAATGCCACCGACCGCCCAGGAGATGGCGAGCGAGCTCCACTGCTGGCGAGGCGCCGCCGCACGGTCAAGATCAACAGTGAAGGGCGGTGGGGCGGGTTTGGGGTCGCCTGCCCTCGCGGTCACGGCCCGCTGCCAAGGCGCTGCGGACACTCTCGCAAAGCTGGGGCTTGTGACTGACTGTAAGGCTGACCCGGACAGCGGAGCCAACGGACCAGAAGTGTGGAAGCGTAGTGGCTGTGTCTTTGTTTGGCCTTGCGTCCGGGTACCAACACTTCCTTGAATCACGCACGTATAGACGTGCGGATCGTCGTTCCCTACCCAAAGAACTAGTTATCAACACGGTTTCCCCGCAGGCCTTTGAGAGGCTTCTCAGCCTCCAACTGAAGGAAAGGCCCTTCTCCAAACTCCCCTAGCTTTCTTGGCTCCCCGCGGGCCTCGCTTCCAGGGCCTCCGCCACTTAACCACAGCTCTCCTCCTCCCGCAATTCCGAATATAAAAGGAACACAAATAAATAACAAAGCCTTCATCTGTTACTGATTTAGCCATCAATCCAAATACCACCAGAGAGCATTTGAGCGGAGTTTTAATCTTCAGCAAACCTCTGTTTCTCCTAGGCTCAGCGAAACTGAGGAGCAAACTACAGATGAAAGGAAACCCTAGAGGCAATTCCTTCTACCCACATGGGAAACCTGAGAAATGGACCTGGAAGATGGAAAGTGGCCTGGGACGCTGGAACCTGGGGAAAAAAAAGAAAGAAAGAAAGAAAGAAAGAAAGAAAGAAAGAAAGAAAGAAAGAAAGAAAGAAAGAAAGAAAAGAAAAAAGAAAAAAAAGAAGGACGGGTAAAATGGCGATTGGAAGAAAGAAAACGGGCCCGTTTTTTGATGAAGCACATCTTGTAAGGAGAATAGCGATATTACATGATCCTTCTCCAAGTGTAACATTGGGCATGATTGGCCCATTTTCAAGGGTTTATCCTCTATAGGTTGAATTGAGTTCTATCTCCATGCCTCTCTATCTCTGTTTATCTCTCCCTCCAAAACGAAATTGGCCCGTTGCAGTAAGATATGAAACAAGTCAAACTGGATAAAGAAAACGAAAGTAATTCCCAAGTTTTAGGTCCCGGTGCTTTCTCACAGAACCCCAAGGGAGACCCCTGCCAGAAGAGGTTGCATGTTGTGTGAGAATTTATAAATCTGTGTTTAACTAACTTGCATATCAAAAAGTTAGCTAGCACTGAATTGTGGCAGAAGCCAGCAAGAAGGAACCCGCTTTTGTGTGACCATTTCCCAGAATAGAAAACAGGCTTCCAAGTTCAATGTCTAAAATGTGTGTCTAGAGGTTTAAGCTGTATAACTGTGGCTTCAGTTGTCAATTGCTCCTCGTAGACTGTCTGAAGAATGTGTTGTGGGATAAGCTTGAAATGTTTCTTTTTTGATTGCCAAATATGGTTATCCCTTTCTAATTTCAAGATCTTCCTAGTGAACGCATTTATAACGGACCTCTCTAGGCCAAAAACTTCCCAGTGAGTTTTTCTACACACCAGAACACACATACATATTGATTCAAAAAGTAAATAAAATTGTTAAATTGATAATATTGAAAGAGAAATAAAATTTTATTGATTTTTAAAAAATGAATTGGTCTAATGAAAATTATCATTTTAGACATCGAAGGTGATATCCTAATTTTAAAACATCACTACTTGTGTTAGGGGAGGGGGTGGTGGGTAGAAGTGAAGAGCAGAATATGAGGTTTCAGAGACCAGAACTGGTGTTGAGTTTCCTTCATCAATAGGTGTTTAGGATAGCAAGATTTTATAATAAATAAGAACAGTTGCTCGAAGCAGCACATCTTGGGAAAGGAACACAAATATAGATAGACTCAGGGGAAACAAGAGAGTTCTGTTTATTTGTATCTCCCTAGGAGTAAAAAGTGATTTTTTAAAATACTTGAGGCACTGCTCACATATCCCTGCTCACAGACACTGTGTCTACAAAAATAATCTGTCAGTTGCACAAATATGCAGCACTTTGAAAGTGGTTTACTTCACTTTCAGGAGCATCTTTTTTTCTTCTTGATTCTTAGTATTCCACATTTAAAAAATATGTTCGATGTTTAAAGTTCTGAGAGGCCCAGTGCATTTGTTCAGCATTAATGTCTTAATTGGGCTCTGGCCACATTGGCTCAGTCTCTTTCTAGGGATTGAGGAGCTGGCCTCAATTCTGTTCCCACAGACCCAAGAATATGAAAAGGGGTGAATTTTCTACCATTTAGGAGTCACTCTGCCAACTGCAGATATTGAAATATCTGCACCTAAAGTTGGAGATATGAAGGACATATTGCTTTCAAATTAAAGGATTAAAAAAATCCAAATCTACAAGGTATGTTACAAATACACAACTAAGACAGCAAGTGAGAGACCCAAAGATGGAAAGATTGTCTTCATTTAACTATTCATAAGGTAGCTACTTTTAAAACTATCACGTGCCTCCAGTTTTCAGACTTTCCCAGTGACCCCCAAATCATTGAGTGCCTAGAGCTGTTTCCACTTGCCTCGGGGACGCTTCTGAAAGTTAATGACTGATTACACAATCACAGGGTAAAACTGACTGAAAACGGTTCTGGCCTAAAGGATTATGAACATAATCAGTACTGGAAACATATATAAAGGTCATATTAGAAAATAGAGCCCTTAAACCCAATGGGCACTTCTGAAATTAATTTTGGAGTATTATTCAAAAATACTCTCTCTCTCTCTCTTTTTTTTTTTTAATACTGGCCTGGAGGAGAAACAAAATGTTAAAAACATCGAAAAAATAAACCTAGACAAGAACAAAACCAATAATATTTACAAAGACTGGGAAGCAAAAAGTTTTAGAACCAGATAAGGATCAAGAGTGAGAAACAATTCACAACATTTGCCTTCATAGGCAGGGAAAATTGGGGGCAAGGGGGAGAATTAAATACATTTTCAAGTCTTTCCAAAGGTCTTTTTGGAGACAACTGAAAGCATTTAAACTGTCTGTGGCCAACCTGGCCCACATCAGGAAACGGTATCTTTGAGCTTGGAGACAATTTTCTTGTCCTTCACTCTTCTATTCTGAAACCAAATGGTTACTTGTCTCTCAGATAGGTTCGTGGCTGCTGAAATCCGCCGCCGCTTGTCCTTGTTAATGAACTTGTTAATGGCATACTCGTTCTCCAGTTCTTTGAGCTGCAGTTTGGTGTATGGGACTCTTTTCTTCCTTCCTCGTCGGTAGACACACATATCCGGCTGATTTAAAGCCACATCCCCTGGCACAAACAACAGCATGGGAAAGATTAGACTAGGATACTTGAAGCACCTAAGCTGGAAACTGTGTTATGTGTATGTGTCTCTGTGTGTATTAGTGATTAGAGGAGCTTAGATTAAAAAAATCCAGGTGTTTACACTTTATTATTATTTACAGATTATTAAAAAAGACTATTTGCACTTCAAAACAAAGGCTTATTTGATGGATCATCATGGTTTTTCAAATTGGCATCTTAACAAGCTTGTGATTTTATGGTTTATTGAAGGAAGTTCATAAGGACAGTTCTCTGCAGTTGTCAGTTGCATATAAACATACAAACACACACACACACAAATTCAGATTTTTTTGACTCAAGCTTTCATTTCTCTGTGCCTGTGTTTGGAGTTTTATTGCTCTAAGAAGCTTTAGTGGTCACTGAAACCCCACTTGAAAAGTGAGGGCCCATACCTCTTCCAGCAGGAGGGGGAGGAGGGGAGAGAGAAAGAGAGAGAGAGAGAGAACCAAAGGCTCTCAATTGTAGGAAAAATATGCACCTGTACACAGGGAAGGAAAGGATTGTAGAGGCAATTTAAATCGGGAAATCTGCATATTGTACAGAAACTAGACAAACTTTTCTGGTGGGTTAAACCTGGTCAGGTCTGGAGCGGAGGTACCCGCTCCCAAATAGACTCCCCTCCCCCCCCCCCCCAGCCCCGCGCGAGCCAATCCCCTGTCTTCATTGCTCCTACCTGGAAAAGATGATTTCCAAAAATGAGAGCCCTGTGGCTGGTCCTTGGCACAGTACACCTGGCTGTTCCACCCGTTGGCTAGCGTCCAGGACTGGTAGCCCTCCATAGAGATGTACGCCTCATGCCGAGGTTCCCCAGAACCGAAAGTGGACACCATATCGATGTACCCGGGCACGTGTTGATATGGACTCGTGTAGCCCTGGTAGAAGGACACTTCCTTGGCTCGCGCGGGCACCTCGTTGGTTGGTACGCTGCCACTCGCCAGGCCCGACACGTCCATGTACTTCTCCACCGGGAAACCTCCGAGAGAGGCGTGCGGCGACGACTTGAGAGCGTTCTGCTGTAAGCCCACGCCGTGCGACATGCGGCAGCTGTAATAGCCGTTGCCGAAGTGGTAACCGTAGCCCAGCGCCGGAGCCCCGGGAGGCGCTGCAGCGGTGGCGGCAGGCGCTGGCGCTGGACACTCTTTGACTGCAGGAGCCTCTGGGCGCGCGGCGATCACCGCCGAAGATGACGACGACGAGGCGGAGCCTGTGCGCTCTGAGGTCCCTGGGTACCCGAAGCTAGAGGCCGCCGCCGCTGCAGCAGCTGCCGCCGCCGCCGCCGCCGCCGCAGCTGCGCGCCCCGAGTGTGTCCCGGCGAACACCGGCGCCGAGAGGAAGCCGCGGCACTGGCTCGGTGCAGCTGCAGCCGCCACCGAGGAAGAAGAGGAGGCCGGGGCGGCCCCGCCGTCCGCCCGCAGCCCGTCCATGTCCCAGTTCCCCGCACGGCTCATGGCCCGGCCTGGCCCGGTCCGGGCCCTGGCCTTGGCCCCGCGCTGGACACCATGACGCGGTGCGCCTCCTCCCTCTTCCCTCTTTCTCTGGATTGCGCTCGCTCCCGCCCTCTTCCTCGGTCTCTCTCTCTCTCTCTCTCTCTCTCTCTCAGCCTCCCGCCCTCCCGCCCTCCAACAGGTTAGCTCATCGCGGGACGTTTATAAAAACGAAGTTCAGGTTGGGAGGGGGCCTGGGCCGGTCGGGGGGCCGCCTCCAGCCCCCAGGGCGCCGACCGGGGACTGTGCCATTGGCTGCGCGGGACCACGTGGGGTGGGGGCCGGGGGAGCCCGACTCCGGGCCTGGGCCAGGCTGGATCCACCCACCCGGCCCCCACCCCTGCTCAGCCCACCTCCCATTCCCGCCCTCCCCAGACCCAGGCGTTTGTGCTGCAGCCACCCTCTCAAGTTGACTGCGCGCGACAGCCCATCCCAGGCCTGTCTGGGCCCGAGACGGGCGCCAAAGGCTGCGCCCGGTCTCAGCTAGGCAGCTTGGGCTACCCCTCTTCGCCTCCTTGAGCTGCTGAAAATGAGAATGAAGGACAAAGATGATCAGGATGACATGAAAACAGATCGATCTTGTTATTTTAACTTGTTGCTTAATGTTTTGTCACCGCTAAGCCCCAAACTTGAGCTAGCTAATTTTTCCCACCTTAAACAAAGTTAACGGGTAAAGGCATTTTGCACATAGAAGATCAACTGGAGCGGGTCCTTCCTGCACACACAGACACAGACACACAGATACAGACACAGACACAGACACACACACACACACAAAGTGCAAGCGCATGCACTTGCAGAGTCTCAACTGAAAAGGTATTTCTACAGAGCAGGACATCAGGCACAGGGTCCCTTCGCATCAACCCTGCCACCAGCTTACCTGGGAAGGGGTGGGGCTTAAGGTTATAGGAGGCTTTACTTCAAACCAGAACTCTGGTTCAGTCTTGGAGTGAAGAAATCTGCAACATTCTTCCAGCCTGAGATGCTCCAGCTTGCTGCCTTCCCCACCATGATTGACCATATCCCCTTAAACCAGGAGCCAGATAAATCTTTCCTTTCTCAAGTTCCTCTGCCAGGTATTTGGCCACAGTGATGAGGAAAGCAATTAGAACAGTGGACAGGTGAGCTTGACCATCATCATTGTAGCAAGAGTTGGAAAGGCTTCAGGGTGGAGGGTGGTAAGGAGAAAGTCCGATTCTACTTCTCAGGTTTTCAAATTAAAATTGGAATCGTTCCTTATTTTATTTTGCTGTCAGTTTATCAGCTTATGGTTCATCAGGCAGCTGTTCGTTTGCTTGGTGGAGATGGTCACACAATGTGGTACACAGGGGTTGGGGGTGGCAGGGTCTCTTTAGCTATAGGACACCTTAGAAGCCACAGGAGGAATTCCTCTGGCCAGGGCTGATGTGACACAGCACCTGTGACTCCATCTCAGGCAAAGGCTGTGGAATTCTGGAATTCGCCTTTGTCACAGACCCCATACCTGACCCTGTCCTCTACCCTCTGCTGCCCCTTCACCATACAGTCGTAGGAGGGCCAATATATCTGATTTTACCAGAGCCCCAGGGCCCTGGGTACAGGTAAGAGGTGAGCAGGGTTATGAGAGAGGCCTGATGCTGAGGAGAGCCTGACCTAAGGTAGGGAGAGGCTAGTGTGAGCATGCTTTGTGGACACAGACAGTGCAGAATCAGCAGGTGCTGGGAGTCTTGGGGTGCAGAGATTTCCAAGAGGACCCCACTTTCTCTCTCCTCTGACTTAATAGTGAAGGTAAAGGGGCTTTGTCCTATGGGAAGCTTTGGAATGGAATGCTGACAGGAGTGTCACAGGGTGACAGACTGCATACACTTACAGCCTCTACTGACCTGAGGCATGAGATTCGAGAGTTCTTGCTCTGAGGGGAGGGCTGGCAGTTCAAGAAACAGTGCTTGAGTTTTAGCCAAAAGCAACAACTGCTCTGTGGCAGGGAAGCTGTATTCCATGGCGAACACCATTGGCCCCTTCCTAGGTAAGCTGGTGACAGGGTTGATGGGAAGAGACCCTACACCTGATGCCCTGCTTTATAGGAATATCTTTCTAGGTGAGACTCTGGGACATGAATGTGATGATGCAACAGCATAATTCCACTCTCTATCTGTCAAACATTTTAATAAGTATTATATATGTAAAATGAAGAGCACGAAATGAAAATAAAAGGGAAGAATTTGTCAAGTTCTGTGATTTTAGGCTATTCTGATTTGGCTTCATTTTTCATGCAGCAATTGAAGTTGTATCCAACTGGAAGGAAATTTTGAATTAATGCTCAGATTGAAACTTCTCAATATGGCCTTGCTTCCAATAATGCTCTGTGGTGCTCTTGCAGAACTTGGGGTTTCTCTGCCAATTTCAAAGGGTATTCAGAGATAAAGTTTCGGTTTTTGTGGGGTTTTTTTTTGGTCTTTTTGAGACAGGGTCTCCCTGTAGCCCCAGCTGTCCTGGAACTCACTCTGTAGACCACGCTGGCCTTGAACTCACAGAGGTCTGCCTGCCTCTGCCTCTGTGCTAGGATTAAAGGCATGCGCCACCACACCGGGCTGAGATAAAGTTTTTAATGAGTTTTGCCTTTTGCTATCCTGAGCCTGTCCCTATCTTCAACAAAGTCAAGTCCTAGGCACACAGGAGTAGATTACTCTAAGAAAAGGATTTGAGAGGCCCCATAGGTGAAACCCTAAATTTCAGCTCGCCAGGGGAGTTGCTATTATTGAACCATAGGGTTGTGGTTGGATACTAGGCAGTCTGTGTGTGAATTAATGAGGTCTATAATTTCCAAGATGGGTTAAGAAGTATGAGAGGAATTCTGAGGCTTAATTGGCAGAAATATTTTCATTTAGCTTGTTTATCTTATGCCCAACTTGATTTCAGGTTTAAATTCTCTCTCTCTCTCTCTCTCTCTCTCTCTCTCTCTCTCTCTCTCTCTCCTGCAATAGAGACTCACTCTGTAACCCAGGCTGGATGAAAGAACTTACTATGCATCCCAGCTGGCCTTGAACCCCTTAAGTGCTAGGATTACAGGGGTGAACTGTTTAGGAGCACAGGATGAGCCCTATCTTTGTGTGAGGGTGTATTGTGTTGGGATTTTAACAAAATAGGTTTTGTTAAGTGAAAGAGTTTTGCAATGACAACTATTTTGAAATACATATTGTTCTGTGAATTTTGGGGCTATGTTTTCTAATTTGAGTGAAAAAAATCATGATGTGTTTTGTTGCTGAAAATCTGTTTTCATTCCTCTTCCTTCACTTGTTTCTCTTCTTCCCTCCTGCCACAACACCATTTTGAGACTTGAATCTGTTCTGGAAGTAATGCCCTCTCTGTTCTTCCTTGTAGATGACTTTGCAAAATTGTGCTTTGGTTCTGAAATGGAAAATTCAGATGGATGCAGGCTATGGTTTAAACTTATTGAAGTTTTTCTGCCTGCCAAGACACAATGAGCTCAATTAACCACATAATCAGAGGCTATTAAAACTAAGATGGCAGAGTCCTATCAGAGGGGTGCACTAGAGATTCCTTTGAAAGTATTTACCTTGATGGTCACAACCAGGAAGCACAGGACACCCTCTTAATTAACTTGTGGGAAACCAAAGTTTCAATAGAAAGTCTCAATTCCACAGCAAAGTCTTAAGTCCAATAGAACTGGCTGGCCAGTGTTCTTAACTGTGTCTGTGTCTTTCTAACTCTGGAGCTAATTTTTCCTCCTCAGTTAATAACCAGTTTCACTCAAGCTGGAAATATCAAAAGAACAAATAAAGAAAGAAAACAAAAACAAACCAACAAAAAGATAACAGCCTCTGGCGTGGAAAGAGGTTCTAGCAACAGCCAGAGATGGTATCCTGTGTTTGGGCATTTCTGTATCTTGAGATGGTATCATTTTGGGTTTAGTTACAAAATTTCATTTATTAAATGAAAATCATTTGCAACAACAGCAACAAAAATTCTCTCTCCAAACACCAAGTTCTTTTCTTTCTTTTTTTTTTTAAACAAACAAATGCCAGGTTTGTCTCTCACAGGACAGCAGGCCCTTATTCATGATGAGGAGAATGCTAGCCTTGGAGGGTATGAAACAGGGAGTTCTTCCCTTTCAAAGAAGCACTAACCTGAGTGGGAAAGGGACTCTGGTGAGGTAGGGCCAGAGCTGGGGGATGTGATAACTTGCTGCTTTAAAAAAAAAATTGAAGCTAAGATTGCAATTTAAGGTTTTGCCTGACACATTTGACTAGAAAAACATTTTTCTAGCAAAACTATTGTTCACTTGAACTGACTAAATGCTCACTCTGAGGGCAACGAGGTAAATAGAAGTATACAGCCATTTCAAAACTTCACATTCTTCATGGGGAATTCACCTTGTGGTTACCAGTAAGGTGAAGAGGTGAAGGGTAGGAGAGTACGAGGCTGGAGAAGGATGCCAGCAGTGTGGCTCCAGATCCCTACAAGCCGCCTCGGAATTCTGCAATTCCTCTTGCCCGCGCTAGATGTCCCTGCAACTTCTCCAGTCTCATCTGAAGGCACATAAATTCCAGGCAGGGGGCCTGGAGTAGCTTCAGGGTCCAGGAACAAAATAACCTACCCAATCTCTCAGCTAGGATGGGGGTAGGATTGCAGGGGGAAAGAAGAAAAACCTGAGCAGGCAGATCCAGGTGAGACCAGGAAAGGAGAGAGAGAGAGAGAGAGAGAGAGAGAGAGAGAGAGAGAGAGAGAGAGAGAGGCTGACTGGAGGCTTGCTTGCTTGTGAAGGAGTGGGACCTTGAAATGACCAGTGCCAAATCTGGCCTGGTGAGTCCAATCCTCATCCTCCCTAAGTTAACGGAAGCCTCCAGTCCTGGGGACTGCACTTAGCTTCAAGGGAATGTGCCTGGAGATTCTCAACTCAGACTCTGAAGGTCCTGGTTTCCCACCCACCACACTGGAGTCCTAACTCTCCTGTGAGCTTGAGACTTACTGTGGTCCAGGAATTGATGGCCCACACTGACTGGAGCCCTGCACTGGGAAGATGATAGTGGTGGGAGAACCATGGTGTGGCTCTGCTGCAACTCAGACTTTACTTTTGATCCCCCCTTTTCAGGTTTTTATGACCTGAAGTCTCAGGCCAAAAGTGTTTACCACTTCACCTGTGAGGACCCGCTGCTCACAAGAAACAAATATTTAGTCTGGAGGCCTAAAAAATAGTTTCATTCTTCGTTTGTCTCTCCTCCTTTCCAGCAAAATGCTTTTTGAACAATAAGGAGAAAGCCTTACCCATATGTCCTCTCACTCTGTCCATCTTAAAAATTTCTTTCAAGTCATCGGATGTGGGACGAATTCTTGTTTTATTTGAGTGGATCCTGTACTTTGGTGGTGGTACCTTGAGGACACCAGAAGCTGAAAATTGGGATAGTCAGCTTCCAGTCTCAGTCTCTACATCATTTTCTCTTTCTTTCTTTCTTTCTTTCTTTCTTTCTTTCTTTCTTTCTTTCTCTTCCTTCCTTCCTCTTTCTTTCTTTCTTTCTTCTTCCCTCCCCTTCTTTCTTTCTTTCTTTCTTTCTTTTTTCTTTCTTTCCTTCTTGTCTTTTTGAAACTGGGTCTCCCTGTAACCCCAGCTGGTTTGGAACTCAGTATGTAGACCAGGTTGGCCTCGAACTCACAGAGCCTCTGCCTCCTGGTGCTGGGATTAAAGGCATGTGCCACCATGCCTAGCAGCCTCTACATTTTGGAAGAGGTACAAAGTTACTTTTTTTCAATGAACATAGCAGGGCTGCTTTCTTCTCTTTATCCTCCACATAGGTTCAAAGTTTTGGTGTTAGAGCTGATTTTAAATAAGACATGTAACATGGGAAAAATGCTATGTAAAACTATGAACACCCTATGACTTGTATATTACTGAAGATAACTTTAATGAACAAATCACTGAACCTCTCTGTGCAAAAGATTTCTTGCTCTTGAAAATGGATAATAATTTCACAAGAGCCTGGTTGTGGCTACCCTTGCCTTTAGTCCCAGCACTTGGGAGGCAGAGGCAGGCAGATAGATCTCTGTGAGTTCAAAGCCAGCTTGCTCTACATAGTGAGTTCAAGGCCAGCCAGTGCTACATAGTAAGACCTAGTTTCAAAATAGTTTTAATTTTACAGGGATGCTCTAGTATTTGGAATA